GCTTTGGAGAAAGACAGATATTCAAATTATGGTTCAGCCCTTACTAACTCCACGATGAGAACATTACCTGCCTTCTTGAACTAATGTCAAGTTCAAGAAATGATAGCAGCTATAAATAAAGCAATGTATATAAAACAGTGACTACAATGAAGCAAATATTTTTACTGTATTTTGCAAAACACTACCTTTTTTCCTAAGTCTTCAAGAGAAACAATCAACAATAATTACAATATTGTTTGTGGTAAATAGATAGGTGTTGTACTTTTATTATCTAAAACTTAACAAAGTTTTTAAGTCATGGACAAAATGTCATTAAATGTATTAAATGTATAAAATAAATCAAAGACAAGCACCAAAATTATATAATATGACTGCAACTTTTTAAAAATATATTTTTTCATCTACATGTACATTGAAAACTGTGAAAATATGAGTCAAGATTTTATTATTGAAAGCTAGTGTTGAAAGTTAGCTAGGAGTTACTGCTGATTTATTTAAAAATTTACTTCTTACTTATAAAAGCTCTAAAATTGAACATATTACTTTTATTTTCAAAAATAAATTATTTGTGTGTGTGTGCTTTCAGAACACTTGATGCTTACTCTCTTGGGAACTTTGAAATATGTATTCATTATTGTTAACATTAAATAAAAATAGTAACTATGAATGAATAGTTAAATAATTGTATAAATAATAAGTAGAAGGTTATTTTCAAATATTAACTAATACCTGCTAATAATTTAAGTAATCAAATACATAATTAGATATTAATTCCACACATATTTCTTTATTCAGAGACTTTCTTTTTTAACTACAGTGCATTCACACATTCACACAGACACATACAAATTGTGAATACCAGCACTGTAAGCTACAGACAAGAAAGAAACCTGTTCAATAAGGTTTGTACCCATTCATTACCTGCATAAAGGTTGCCCCACACAAGGTGTCACAGGAGAGCCAGGGAAGCTGAAGCCATAGCACTATGAGGAAAAGTTTATGATACTACATGCAGACATAAAAATTCAAGGCCCACTGTAAAATGTTTACCATTTTCTATTATCTCTGTTATTGGAAGTACCCGTACACACATGTAGACCAATCAATATATGGAGTTTAAAACCTGAAATACTGTTAAGGAAAGAAGAAGAAACCAGTACTATTTTTGCTATAAACTCACTGGTAATGAAGAATAAAGGAACATATAATTCTCGTTAACTATGACTGATCTACATATTACAGTCCATCTACATAACTATCTGCTCTATTTAAAAATTTACTTCTTACTTATAAAAGTTCTAAAATTGCACATATTACTTTTATTTTCAAAAATACTGTACAGATCGAACATGCCTTTCCTGCTTATTATTAAAAACAGCCACAACTATTCACCACACAGCTCCTCAAAACAAAAAGCACAATAAACCACTCTTTTCTCTCAACAAGAGACAATCTATCTTCAGAATTAGAAAAGTAACATAAAATTTAATTGTACAACTATAAAGTAGAGGATCCAGGAAAGACTTGGTAAGCAATGAGTTAATAATGAGAGTAGATAAAAACGTCCATGTAGCCAAATGAAGCTGGCATTTAATGTTTAGTAACTTGCACATAACCTTGAGCGTAAGAACCCAATGACTCGGATACAAGCGCTTAAGGAGATAGGAACCCCGCTTAGTATTTATCAAAAAATATTGCCAAAGTCTCAAGTCCTAGTGGAGAAAGCTAAAACATCTCTTGGCCCAAATCAGAATGGGCTCTGATGGAGTAGCTCTGAGTGGAACCAATTAAGCCTATGTGATTTAATCTAAAAAGCTGATGATCCTGGAAAGCGGTTATTCAATTGGTTGTTTCAAACTTCTGAGCAACTTTAGTGTGCTCCTGTTTAGCGGAAAAGTAATTATCTAATTAACTTTACAATCAAATTATATTATTATAAAACAACAAAAATAAATATTAACAAGAATAATAAAAGCCTGTAGACTCTTACTTGCAATAGTAATAGGTAATACTGACTAAGCTTCTCTTATGAGTCAGGCTCTGCTTTAAGCACTTTACATCAATTATTAAATTCTATTAAATCGGTACTATAACAACCCCCACTCTACAGGTGAGGAAACTGAAATACAGAACTAGTAAATAATTAATGAAGATCACACACTTGACCATTAGCAGTGTCTGGGACTACTGAACCATTTCCTGAAGCATCTGCCCAACTCTTCTGTTGTAGAAATTGAGGAGTAGGAAACACTAAAACTGAAGTTCAAATGTGCAGCTACAATTCTGTCCCTTCTACAGCATCATAAACCAAGTTCACATGAAACTTGAATTTTAAAAGATTTTAAAATGACAGATACATGCACTCTGCTTAAATAGGGTCTTACGAAGTAGTCCAGGCTGGCCGTGAACTTACTAACCACATAGCCCAGGCTGTCTCAGACTCTCAGTGATGCTCGTGCAGCAGCCTCTCAAGTGCTGGGATTACAGATGTGCACCACCATGCCGAGATAGATACATGTATTATACACTAAATAAATATAATAAATTGTTATATAACAAATGAGTATTTGTTTAAAGACCTGTGCCAAAAAAGAAATGAAAGGTAATGAGTCTCTTCTCTAAGTCTGCAGTATAAAAATCAAAATCAGGGTTCTCCAATAATTTTGCTTTTATGAATATCACTAATAAGCCCTTAAAACAGAGAACTGTCAGGCAAAATGCATACATTTGCCAGTACCAAAACTGAACAAGAAGAAAGTAAAATAAATTTACATCTGCATTCAGATATGAAAAGAATTCCATTCAGGATAATCTGTGAAATTATAGTTCAAGTTGTACAGTACACAATACGCCTATATGTACACTAGTATTCAAAAAAATTTTAAGTCTAAAATAACAAATGACACCTACATTTAGTTGACTAATGACTGGATCACCACTTCAGGAAACCAGTATTGAATCCAGAACTGTAAAATTTTCCCCAAAGTTAGGACAGCCAATGAAGACAGTGACGGGCTGTTTCTTTATATTTCGGAACTCTTACAAACAAATCTTAGAAAAAGGTATTCCACAAGTGGTTATTCTATATTATCTCATCACAGTCAAAGTAATGAGCATTCTCAAATCCACACTTTTCTAAGGAAATAAAGACAGTTGTGGAAGACTTCAGAATTTTTTAAGAAGCCTAATTGTAAAGCACCCATCTTCTCTTACGTGTACAACACTTCTATCTTTGCCATCAGAAACCACTGACTACAAGAAAGTTCATTCCACATAATCTTTTGAAATGGTTTCAAATACGTCTTTAATGAAATAAATGTTTAAAGTCTAAAGCACTGTTGATGAAGGTCTCTTGATAGGCACTAAAAAGTAAAAAATTGAATTAAAACATTTCAATGACTTAATATACATTGAGGAGATGCCAATTTATATGATCAACACCACATTCCCCTAGGTAGCTTTCCTGACCACTGATTCTATTGAGCAGTAGTACTTTAATATGTTGAAGACAATTAGGTTTTTATCTAGCACTTCAGTGGACACTTTCGCTTTGCTGTTGGATCAGATAATCCAACACTTCTCAGAAGGACAATCTAAGGGCTAATGCTCTGTATTTGTCGCCCCACATCAAGGTTACCAAAATACACAGACACCGAGCAAAATTCCAGGCAACCCTGCACCTCTGCAGAGAGAGTTGTCTTCCACTTCTCCAGCCACAATAAAGTGTAGAAAATTGTCCAGTTCCACAACAGTGAGCTAATTACCAAAATAAATAAACACAATTAAAGCTGGTCTGTTTCCATTAAAGGTTTTCAATGCTATTCTCTCTAACATTGCAGGCAAGTTTTAAAGCTTCTTGGGTCTTGCCAAAGGAAAAGATGTTTGCCAAATAATACTCCTGCTGCTATTCCAGCTGGCTTTTCATTTGCCCAAATCGCCTTTTAATTGTTGCCCCCCTGGCATTATGCTTGTCACTGCAAACTGCGCTGGCCACACCTCCCACTCTACCCACAACCCAGTACTCTTCCGATGGTTCTGGGAGGAGCTCCGGACTCCACCGAGCACCCTCCGAAGCGCACCACAGAAAACGTCACGCTTTCCCACTTGTCCTCTCCCTCATTCTCTCATTTCATAAAATCACTGCAGTTATTCACACTGGGAAAGTAGTTTTAACTTTTTTGCACAGGAGGTGCGCAGAAAGGATATACCCTAATCGCTAGAGCGTGGGAACACACACACACACACACACACACACACACACACACACAGACACACACACACACCACGCTTCCCTTCTACTCCCCCAGCGGTACACTCAGATATCCAAACTCTCCAGTTCCTCCCATCTTCCTCCCAAACGTTTGGCAGTTGCACTGGAGAAATCAAAGATAAATGCCCGGGAAAACCTGAGTTTCTATTGGATAGTGAGGGCCGCTTTTTCACCAGCCGCTTTCATGCCCTGCCTCTCCCAGGGACTCCAGAAGCTGTCCCACTTCTTCTCTGCATCCCTTCCAAAAGGACCCGCAAACCGCGCTCCTGCGCAGGACGCACCTACAGGAAAGCGGGTGCGCGGTGCCTAGATGTCACTGGGGCCCCAGGAACACCACTAGCCACCATAGAAAGGAGTCCCTTGGCTGCGGGCCCGAGCAGGAGGGCTTGGGCTTCTGTATGCAGTTCTTTCAACCCATCTCCAAACGCGGCCCTTTGCAGTCCAGGGGAAACAGCATCCAGCGTCAGGCAGGACCAAGAGAGTGAGAGCAAAGAAGTTAAGGAAGAGGAACGCGTGGAGACCGGGTGCTGTGGAGTTTAAGAAAACCGGAGCAGAAATTGAGATCAGAAGGGTAGAACGCGTAATTGGGGTCTATGGCGTGAGGGAAGCATCAGGAAGACCTGCTAGCACTGGCTCTTAGCTCCACCAGGACTTTCCCCCGGGACACCCCTGCCCTAGCTGCAGCCGGGCTCTAGCCAGCCGCTAGGAGGTGCCCGGGTTGCGAACTTACGGAAGAAGATGTACTCCGTGTAGCTGCTCCAGATCTTGTCGTCGCGGTACTGGTTAACGAAGGCGGCGGTGCCGGAGGAGTTACACGCCACCATGTGGAAGCCGGCCTCCGACAGGCGATCGAAAGCCTGCTCCAAGTAGGTGAACTTGAGGTAGAAGCGGGAAGTGTACTTCTCGGGCTGCCGGTCGGGGTCGCGACTCTCATTGAGCGTGTCCCCGAACACCTCCTTGGCCAGCGAGATGCGCCCGCACACCATGATGCGCGCCACGCGCCGGAACTTGGCGTCCGCCTGGTTGTCGCGCACGGTGGTGTAGGAGCCGCGGTAGCCCAGGGTGAGGAAGCCCGAGCGCTTGTCCGACGCGCCGGGGCCGCTGCCGCCACCTTGCGCCCCGGGGCCCGAGGGCGCGGCGGCCGCCGCCCCGCGCAGCAGCAGCGCGTCGCTGCTGCCCTGAGAAACGTTGTCCTCCAGGTCGCTCTGGCAGCCCTCGTCGTTGAGCGAGTTCTGCTTGGTGACCTTGGGCGACAGCAGCTTGACGAGGTCGGCGAGCTGGAAGTACTCGGCTTCGCGCAGCAGGCGCTCCTTCTCCGGGAAGTGCTCGGGCAGCGCCAGCTGCTTGTCCCGCAGATAATCCAGCACGTACCTGAAGAGGAAGCCGTCCCGGTCGATGAAGAAGCGCGCGCGGCTGTCCCTGGGCAGCTCGCCCCGGCGCCGGGCGCCGCCCCGGGGACTAGAGGGCGCAAACATAATGGCCAGAGTGCTGTCCGGGACGCTGAGCAGCGTCGAGTGCTTGGTCACATAGACCTGGCCGCCCACGTTCAGCTCCACCACCTCGGGGAAGGGCGAGGGCGCGCAGGGCCCCGGGGCGGCGGCCGCCGGAGCGCCGGGCGAGCTGCACGCGGAGACCATCTCGCTAATAGGCAGGATGGTGCCGCCCCCGCTGCCCGTGTCCTTCAGCGCCATGCTCCCCCAGGCCGCCGCCGGTCACCCGGGAGAGCGACCCTTGGCGGAGCGCAGCGCCCGCGCCCGCGCCTCTGCAA